AGCTGGGCATTGTGGCAGGCACCTGTGGTCCCAGCTACTTGGGAGGCAGAGGCAGGAGAATCACTTGAGCCTAGGAGTTGGAGGTTGCTGTGAGCAGTGATGCTACGGCACTCTACCCAGGGCGATGGCTTGAGGCTCTGTCTCAGGGGGGAAAAAAAAAGAAAAGAAATATTTAGGTATTAGAAATACTAGAAATACTTAGATACTAGGAATTCTAAATACTAGAAATATTTCTAAAATGCTACTCAAAATTATTTACTTTTTTTTTTTTTTTTTGAGACAGAGTCTCAAGCTCTCACCCTGGGTAGAGTGCTATGGCATCACAGCTCACAGCAACCTCAAACTCTTGGGCTGAAGTGATTCTCTTGCCTCAGCCTCCCAGGTAGCTGGGACTATAGGCACCTGCCACAATGCCCAGATATTTTTAGAGACAGGGTCTCACTCTTGCTCAGGCTGGTCTCGAATCCTCACTTGAAAATCCCCCAAACTACCCTTCTTTTCATGCCTGTCAACCTGGCTAGATAAGACTGTTAGGGTCCCTAGCACTGGCAGACTATTTGTGGCTTCACCTTTACCAATTGCTTATCTCCTTTGACTGGTAATAGTCTTGCTAGGAATCTAAACTAAAGGAAAATGTAGGAGATACAAGTAAAAGTTTACATGCAAGGATATTCAATCCAGAATTGTTTATAATAGTGAAAAAATGAAACAAACTTAGTTACAAACAATAGGCAATTATCAAGTAAATTATGCATCTGTATAGTGGTTATTAAATAGTATGGTTTAGCCGAGCATGATGACTCGCAGGTGTAGTCCCAGCAACTTGAGAGGCTGAGGCAGGATGATTGCTTGAGGCCAAGAGTTTGACACCTGCCTGGGCAACATAGTGAGACCCCATCTGTAAAATATATATGTACTACACTTGATCTTAGCCAGAAGGCTGAGAAGTGATAAAATGTGTATATGTGTGTATGTGTGTGTGTGTGTATTTTTTTTTTTTTTTGAGATAGAGTCTCACTTTGTCACTCCTGGTAGAATGTTGTGGTGTCATGGCTCACAGCAACCTCAAATTCTTGGGCTCAAGTGTTCCTCTTGCCTCAAAGTATCCGGGACTACAGGCATGTGCAACAACATCTGGCTATTTTTTAGAGTTGGAGTCTTGCTGTGGCTCAGGCTGTGGTCTCCAACTCCTGAACTCTAGGGATCCACTCGCCTTGGCCTCCCAGAATGCTGGGATTACAGACGTGAGCCATCGCACCTGGACATAAATATATATACATTTTAAAGAAATTTAATGATATGAGAAGATGCTTAGAAGACTAAACAAAACAAAAACTAGAAAATAAAACTGTAGGTGGCGCCCGTAGCTCAGTGGGTTGGGCACCAGCCACATACACTGAAGCTGGCAGGTTCAAACCAGCCTGGACCAGCTAAAACAACAATGACAACTGCAACAAAAAAAATAGCCAAGCATTGTGGCAGGAGCCTGTAGTCCCAGCTACTAGAGAGGCTAAGGCAAGAGAATTGCTTCAGCCCAAGAGTTTGAGGTTGCTATGAGCTATGATGCCATGGTACTCTACGGAAGGTGACAGAGTAAGACTCTGTCTCAATTGAAAAAAACAAAAAACCTGTAAGTAAAATGGGCTTAATTTAAAGAAAAACAGAATGTAAAAACTAAAGGGAAAAAACTTAAAGAAAATATAAAATATTGACAGTGACTATCTCCTAGTAGTAGGATTACAGGTGAGTGATTTTCTGCCCTTTTTACTTTGCAGTTTCTGTCAAGGTTTATAACCAGAAAAAAAGTCAAAAGGTCTTTGCTATACATTCATAAAAAATGACAGAGAGGGCTCGGCGCCTATAGCTCAACCGGCTAAGGCGCCAGCCACGTACACCTAAGGTGGCGGGTTCGAATCCCCAGCCCGGACCCGCCAAACAACAATGATGGCTGCAACCAAAAAATAGCTGGGCGTTGTGGCGGGCGCCTGTGGTCCCAGCTACTTGGGAGGCGGAGGCAAGAGACTCGCTTGAGCCCAGGAGTTGGAGGTTGCTGTGAGCTGTAATGCCACGGCACTCTACCCAGGGGGACAGCTTGAGGCTCTGTCTCAGAAAAAAAAAAAAAAAAATGACAGAGAGATCTTGACAAAAATACTGTTTTCTTCCTTGTTGGAGAGTCATTTCCATGGCACAGCCTGGTTACCTGTGCCCACAGACACCTCTCCTCCCCTCGACTGCCTCAGCTCAGAGCTTTCCTGTCTGCTCCTAGGGCCACATTGTCCACAACTGGAAGGCGCGGTGGTTCATCCTTCGGCAGAACACTCTGGTGTACTACAAGCTTGAAGGGGGTCGGAAGGTGACCCCTCCCAAGGGCCGCATCCTCCTGGATGGCTGTACGATCACCTGCCCCTGCCTAGAGTATGAAAACAGACCGGTAAGTGAAGGTCCCTATTTCTGGCCTCCTTCCTACTCCAGGCCATTTCTACCCTGGCCTCTTTAGGGAAGGTGGCATGGGTATTGGGGGTAAATGGGAAGAGCTCAGAGTTATCATTGAGTTGGACACATACTTGGATTCAAATTCCAGCTCTACCATGTACCAGGTGTGCAATCTTGGGCAAGTAGTTACAAGTCCCTGAGCCTTTGCACCTTATCTATTAAATGGGCTGAAATAATTACACCTGAGCATCTTGCATGGTCTAGCAAAACACTTTGTAGGTTAGGAGGTAAGCGCTGCAGTGTGCAATTACTGCTGTCTTGGAGTTCAGTATGATGACTTTCATTCCCTGAAGCGGGGTGCATGTTCCAGTACCAGGGGCAGCTTCAACCCCATCACCAGAAAAGCCTGTCAGTTAAACCTGTCCTGAAGATCCATTGTGTGCCAAGAAATTTGCTAGGCATGGAGGAGGCAAGGAAGAAAATGGTAACATTGCTTCTTCATGGAGTTAATCATCTTAGGGCAAGGGTCAATTGAAAAACATTTAGGATTCCAAACAATAGTATAAATATCATGAATGCAGAGAATACTTTATCCCTGAAGAGGAGGAAAACATTGTGTTAGGCTGCCTGGGACAGGTGCAGCTTCAGAAATAGAGATGTGGGCAAAGATGGAACCAGGAGAAAGGCAGACATTCTGGATAGGTGATGTGTCCTGAGCAAGAGTAAGAAGAGCATATGGGGAGAGACAGGGATGGCTTTTGGGGAAAAGAGCAGCCAGTGTGGCCCAAGGGGAAAGTTCAGAAGGAGTGATAGGAGGTTGGTTTGGGCCAGATGGAGATAATGAAGAACCACTGAAGGTTTTGAGTGAGACAATGGAATGACGAAAACTCTATTAGGAAGACTAAAGTGAGGAACTGATCATGGTTACTACTGAGTTTTCTAGGTCTATAATCAAGGGTTCATACTAGTTTCTTCTTTGACTTTTCCATGTCTTCTTTGTGAGGAGAGACTGGAGATAGTGAAGTCAATTAAGGAACCTTTTAAGTACATATATGTATATATATGTGTGTGTGTGTGTGTGTTTTTTTTTTTTTTTTTTTGAGACACAGTCTCACTCTGTTGCCCTGGGTAGAGTTCAGTTCTGTGGCTTCATAGCTCACAGCAACCTCCAACTCCTGGGCTCAAGTGATCTCCTTGTCTCAGCCTCCTGATTGGCTGGGAATACAGGTACCAGCCACAATAGCTGTTTTTAGTAGGAAAAAACCACTCTTGCTCAGGCTGGTCTTGAACTCCTGAACTCAGGCAACCCTCCCACCTTGGTTTCCCAGAGTGCTAGGATTACAGGCATGAGCCACTGTGCTCAGCCAGTACAAGAAAAATTAATTATGGGGCAGTTGGTTATGTGGTTCAGTGGGTAGGGTGCTGGCCCCATATATTGAGGGTGGTGGGTTTGAGCCCAGGCCCAGCCAAACTGCAACAAAAAATAGCCGGGTATTGTGGTGGGCCTCTGTAGTCCCAGCTACTCAGGAGGCTGAGGCAAGAGAATCACCTAAGCCCAAGAGTTGGAGGTTGCTATGAGCTGTGATGCCACAGTATTCTACTGAGGACGATAAAGTGAAACTCTGTCTCTAAAAAAAAAAAATTATGGTCAATTCTGGGTGGTGGGTTTATTAGCATTTATTATGTTAAACTCTGTACTCTGCAGTAGTTTTAAACTCTTTTCAAATAAGAAAACAAAAGAACCTATTCAAATAATCTAGGGGTGAGACATGGTGGCTCATGTCTATAATCCCAGCACTTTGGGAGGCTGAGGCAGGAGGATCACTTGAAGCTGATCACTTTGAGACCAGCCTGGGCAACATAGCAAGATCCTATCTCTACAAAAAAAATTAAAAATTAGCCTATAGTGACACGAGCCCAGGAGTTTGAGGCTGCAGTGAGCTATGATTGCACCACTGGATTCCAGCCTGAGTGACAGAGTGAGACCCTGTCTCCAATCCCAAACATCTAGGCACAAAGTAAAGCAAAAGGAAGGGATAAACATGAGAAAGCATTACAAAAGAAATGTTGGCAGGACCTGGTCACTGACTGGATGTTGAGGGGAAGGGAGAGGGAGGCATTAAATGTCACGCTAGTCTAAGAGGCTACACTAATAAAATGTCCTTTGATTATTTCCATTGCTGACCTGGAAGTGCTGCTGTTAACATGTGAGAAGTTAGGCGATAGTGACTTTTTGTTAGGGTGACAGCAAGACTGTCACTAGAAGATGCTGAGACTGGGAAAGGACTGACTGAGTCCTTTTGCTTTTTTTTTTTTTTAAACTAATTATTTTTTATTAAATCATAACTTTGTACATTGATGTATTTATGGGGTTCAGGGTACTGCTTCAGTATACAATGTGAAATGTTTACATTGAACTAAGTAACACATCCATCACAATTATACTCATTTCTTAATAGTTTTGAAATGTACCATTGCATCATGCACATTAGGTGAGGTCCCCCGAAATACCCTCCCTCCTCCTATATCCCCTAATCTTCTTGTTTTTAACTTTTTTTTTTTTTTTTGAGACAGAGTCTCACATTATCACCCTTGGTAAAGTGCCATGACATCATAGCTCACAGCCACCTCAAACTCAAACTCTTGGGCTCAAGTGATCCTCTTGTCTCAGCCTCCCAAGTAGCTGAGACTATAGGCATCCGCCACAACGCCTGGCTGTTTTTTAGAGCTGGGGGTCTTGCTTTGCTCAGGCTGGTCTCGAACTCAGGAGCTCAAGCAATCCACCTGCCTTGGCCTCCCAGAGTGCTAGCCCTTGTTGTTAGTTTAGATGAGAAATACTGGTTAAGTTTGCAAGCAAAACAAACTGAGAGCTAATACTTAGAATAAGAACAAAGTAGAATGTTTCTTGTTTTTCAACAGACATGCGAGGCCCAGTTTGCTCAGATGACATTTAGTATTAGGTCAGGGTGCAGAATACCCCAACTGGGCCCCTCAAACCATAAATGTGTATTTAAAGCAGTGGGCCTCAACCCTCCTAATGCTGCAACCCTTTAATATAGTTCTTCTTGTTGTGGTGACCCCCACCCATAAAATTATTTTCCTTGCTACTTCATAACTGTAATTTTGCTACTGTTATGAATCATAATGTAAATATCTGATATGAGGGATGGTCCTAGGCGATTCCTGTGAAAGGGTAATTCGACCCCCAAAGGGGTCGTGACCCACAGGTTGAAAACCACTGATTTAAAAGATAGAGATGTGGCGTACATGAAAAAGACCGTCTATTGGTAGACGGAGTGTGCGTCTACAGTGCCTGTGGCTGCCCACTGCCAGTGTGACCAACCACTGGCTGCGGCCGCCCATGCCGCACTGTGTCCCTTAGGCCTTTCCTGGAGTAGCGTGTTGCAGTCCACAGTCGTATGCTGGGGGCTTTTTTGTTTATTTTTGTTTTTATTTGTATTTTATTTATTTATTTATTTACTTTTTGAGACAGAGCCTTAAGCTGTCGCCCTGGGTAGAGTGCCGTGACATCATAGCTCACAGCAACCTCCAACTCCTGGGCTTAAGCGATTCTCTTACCTCAGCCTCCCAAGTAGCTAGGACTACAGGAGCCTGCCACAGCACCTGGCTATTTTCTGGTTGTAGTTGTCATTGTTGTTTGGCAGGCCCGGGCCGGATTCGAACCCACCAGCTCTGGTATATGTGGCTGGCGCCTTAGTCACGTGAGCTACAGGCACTGAGCCATATTTTTGTTTTTATTTTTAAGAGACAGGGTCTCACTGGAATGCAGTGATATGATCATAGCTCATCACACTCACACTCCTGGGCTCAAGTGATCCTCCCACCTCAGCCTCCTGCGTAGCTCTCACGGGTTGTATTTCGTGAGACCGTCGCCCACGTGCAGTATGTTTGGCAGAGAGTGAACTGGTTGAGAAAGTGCTTAAACTGTGTCACATGAGGCGCATGTGAAGGACTTGAGGATGCTTTTATTTATTTATTTATTTATTTTTTGAGACAGAGCTTAAAGCTATCCCCCTGGGTAGAGTGCCATGGCATCACAGCTTACAGCAACCTCCAACTCGGGCTCAAGCGAGTCTCCTGCCTCTGCCTCCCAAGTAGCTGGGACCACAGGCGCCCACCACAACACCTTGCTATTTCTTGGTTGCAGCTGTCATAGTTGTTTGGCGGGCCTGGGCTGGATTCTAACCCGCCACCTTAGGTGTATGTGTCTGGCACCTTAGCCACTTGAGCCACAGGCGCTGAGCCTTGAGGATGCTTTTAGAT